CCCCAAAACCCCAAAACCCCAAAACCCCAAAACCCCAAAACCCCGTTTTATAGTTAATATATTGAATATTAAACACGTGCTATTCCTGGCTGAAGAATTCTCTAAATAGCTCTTTCTGTTCCTCACTCAATTTGTTTGGGAATTCAACCTCATATTTTACATACAGATCACCTCTTTCTACATTAAAATTAAAGTGAGGCATTCCTTCTCCAATGATCTTCTGTGTATACCCTGGTCTTGTGGTGGAAACCCTGTTAAGCTTTACCTCATGACCATCAAGATGTTTGAGAGTTCTGCTAAAACCGAGTAATGCTTCTTTTAGAGATATCTTTACTGTTGTCCTGAGGTCCTCTCCTTCTCTCTGAAATACCTTGTGAGGAGCAATTTCTACTCTGATATTAATCGGGCTTGCTTTTACATTGAGGTATTCATCACCAGCTTCTTCGTAGACATAGACATGTCCATGATCGACACCTTTGTCAATATCAGCTTCAAAGATTTCAAAAGCTTGCATTACTTTATTCGCATGGCATACATGGCACTGCTTCTTGATAATTTTACCTTCTCCATTACATTTATTACAGTGCTCTTGGAATTGTTGCACAAATCCAGGAGCTAGTTGCTTCTTACGCATGATAGTTCCTTGTCCTCTACATCTGGGACATGTATCAAGATCGTGCTCTGAATCAGCTCCGGATCCACGACAATGAGGACACAAAGCTTGTTTATTATGAGCAATTTCTACAGTTTTACCATTATAAGCATCTTCTAGAGAAATTCTAATTTTGAGGTTAATATCAGGCCCTACAGGTTCTTGGTTATGATGTCCAAAGCCTCCAAATCCTTCAAGACCGTTAATTCCAAGCTCTGAGAAGAGATCCATGGACCCAGCCAGGGTGGCTCATGCTAGGACGGCAAGAGCTATGGCTAAATATGTCTTTGAAGATGCCATTTTTATCCTTTCAAAATATTTATATTGCAAAGGGGTTTTGGGGTTTTGGGGTTTTGGGGTTTTGGGGTTTTGGGG